GTTTAAGTAAAGTTTGGTAAAACCTACAGTGAGTAGCTGTTTTTTTTTTAGTTTTCAATCAACAGTTTTTAAGGATTTACATCTTCAGTAGGAACAGTAGTGAACTTGGGGTTAAGAGTCAAACACAGGGTAGTGGAGTCAAAGTGCTGAAAGATGGACTCATACATTGTTTAGATCTTTTCATGGGATTTGTTGACAACAAGAAATATATAAATAATATACAATTTTGGAGTTTTGCTTTAAAGGAAAAATCCACCACAAAATGAAATAATTTTTACTTTAATGAAAACAATAATCTAATAATGTTAAAGGCTGCATCAGACAGCAACAATGTCAAATAAAAAGGGAAAAATATAAGATTACAAAGTGGGCACACAAATAAAATAAAATCAGCAGCCTTTGTAAATGAAATAAATAAAAACAGAAGCAAACAAGTCAAAATGAATTTCAGTGGAAAAATACAATTAAAAATACACTTGAGGACCAAAAAGATGATGTATTTGTTTTAGATTATATTTTTAAAAAGCTCTAGAGAATAGCATCTTTCAGGACTTCAGAGGATTTCTACTGAACTGAGTTTATGCTGCATGAACTGGAGAAATGTGCACAAATTCAATAAGTTTATGTAACACTTTAAAACACAGGTCATGATTTATCCTGCAATTTGGTTGTATGAATCAGACAACAATAAAAGACTGAAGTTTTGTTACAGTTATTTGAATGTAGGAACAGTGGAAATAAACAAGGCCATAGGCAACAATAGAGGAACAACTGGGCATTTTAGAGGAAATGAGAATTGAACTATATTCAAAGTACTTCTGTAAATAGTGATTTATTTTATTGGTACCTGATTCCTATAACATGACACTGTAAACTGTGCGTGTGTGTCTGACATCTGCTTCATGTAAACATACCTGACTGATTCCCTCCGCTCTTTGGTGCTGAAGTAACAGACTCTAAAGAAATAAACACATCCTGTTATCTCACTGTGTCACAGCTCACATAAATGTCCCGCCCACACCTGTCACACTCACCTGATATCCTGGCCAACTCGATGCTGTAGTCAGTGAACTCATGTCGCTTGCTCACAGAACAAACATGAACCCCGAAATCCTCCGTCTTGACCTGCTGGATGGTCAGCGTGATGTTACCAGGGTTGTAGATGATGGTGTAGCCCGCGGTGCAGTTCTGGAAAGCTTTGTGTTTGATGTAGTGACACAGCAGCTCGTTGTGTGGGCTCCTCCACAGCACGGACAGCTGGGAGATGTGAGTGTGGTCCTCATAGTGGTATGAACACAGGAAAGTGACCCGCTCACCTGGCTGACAGAGCACTTTCACAAGGCTGCCTGGAGACAGAAGAGGTCACTGTCAGGTGGTTAAAGGTCCCATACTGTATGAAGGTAGATGTCCATGTCTTTTTTGATTTTAAAGCAGCTCTAGGTTTTATATTAATACTGTAAAAGAATCAAAGCGCTCAGTCAGAGAAACGAAATAAAAACAAGCCATCAGGACTTCTGTAACTTTGTGATGTAACAACAAAGTAGTCATCGCTCTCAGTTATGCTCCAAATCCCACCCACCTGGACCCACCATCCAACCATGCAGGATTAGATTTTTCTGAGTGTAACTTACCTGAAATCTGCTATATTTTTTATTAGATCACTCAGAAAACTGTCAGCCAATCAGAAGCTAGACTCAGAGCCTCCTCTCTTGTAATTGGCTCACGGACATGTTGTTGCTAGAGCTCCAGAGAGAAGCCTGAGAGAGGAGATGTAAAACTACATTGAGATGGTTTTTAATTCTTAAAACCGCAAAAATATCTTCTTATGGATCAACACTTAAAATAAAACACAGGAAAAGTGTAAAATATGGGACCTTTAAAGCAGCACAATCATTTTATATTAAATGCACAGTATGTAACTTGTCATGAGGGGTCTCTCAGTCACAACAACAATAACAAAAGATGACATTGGGTGACATCATGAAATAGCGTGGGAGTAATCTTTTCCCGGTTTTGATTCCTTCAGTGTCAGTTGTTCAGAAAATCAAACAGACCCAGTGATTATAACCGTTAAAAGCACTAACTAAAGCAGTTTCAGCAGTTTAGCCAACACTATAAGGTGGACATAAGACGTCTGCGAGAGGTTGGGAGCTGAGATTACAGTTAACCTTTGTTTTGATTGTTTCTCTGGTAACTTATGGTCCTCCTCTCCATGACAAACGGAGCAGCTGATTAAAACCAGTAGAAACACTCATAAAGCAGTTTCACTTTAAAAATTAGTAACTTGGGGCACCCGGCGGGTCATTACCACATGATGTTATTGTCAGAATCTTCACTGTCAATGTAATTAATTTTCTCAAGCATGTTTTAAGCCTCTGCAAGTTGATTTTCACACAGTGCTGAGATGTACAGAAAGCAGCAGCAGCAGCAGCAGCAGTGATGAGAGCAATGTTCAGTGTTTAATGGTTTCACACCTGGTTTGGAATTAGCATCAAAGTTCTTTCCACTAAAAAACATGCATGAGGCACTAAACTCAGTCAGGCGATATATTTCTATTGTGTTTTGCTCGGCGGAAGTTGTATTTTTATAAAATAATGAAATGAAGCCAGTGGTTTGTTGTGAAAGAGGAAACTGAACCCTGATATCAACCCGTCATGTCTCAATCTGCATCTATATTATATCTATAGCATAGAAAGTACAAGATCTATGACACAAACTAAAATATATATAATAATAAACTATTGGAATCCGTCTGCAAAGAGAGTAATTTAGGCAATAATAACATCAGGTGATGTATTTATCTCTCTACGTGTTCTGAACCTTACCTTCTCCAACCAGGTGTGACAGAACCAGTCCAAGGTACAGTGCAGCTGTCCCAGTCTGTTCAAGAGGTGTCCTCCACATTTGGCGATGCATTAACTCGACAGGTTCAAATACTTACATGAACATTATTTGGAAATATAAAGATTCTCGAGCACAGAGTTCAAACTCGACGCCGGTCTCATATCACTTTTGTTTTCACAGTAATATCAGTTTACAAGCCTCCACATCAGTGTAAATGTTCTGACCCTGTGGTTACCAGGCATCAGAAGACTCACTGTAATGTGACGCTTCAGAATCAGACAGAAAAATCCCGTTGTTTGTGTCTGTGCCAGAAGAAAAAATAAGTATCATTAAGTGACTCACTGGAAAGGTCTGCTCTATATTCATCCAGCAAGTTTCAGCACGGGGGACTTCCTTCTGGGTGTTTTACAGAAATAAAAAACACAGCCTATAAACACACTACAAGATGGCTGAGTCACTGTCAATTATCCAATGAGCAGCAGGCACAAAAAGTCAACCTCTAAAGAAGGTTGTGCCTCAGACTTTCCTAATAAAAGCACAGAACACCTCACCAACACAGATAAAAGCGGATCCCATCAATATTTGAACTTCAAAATATGTTGTGTTTTATCTGCCCGTTTGTTTTAATGAGCATCTTGTTGAACAATGTATTCTCTGTTGTATGGATAGATGATCATATACAACAGGAGTTCACAACCCTGGATCACTGATTCCAATAGGTCCCGAGATACAGTGGCAAGAAACAGTATGTGAATCCTTTGGAATGACTTTGTTTTCTGCATTAATTGGTCATAAATTGCAATCTGAGATCTTCATTTAAGTCATAAATTTAAACAAACAAGCAACCAAACGTGCTTAAGTTTATAACACGAACAACTGTAATCTTTCATGTCTTACCATGACCGTCTCTTCTGGTCATTCCACAGCATCTCTACTTGATTCAGGTCTGGGCTCTGACTCCAGGAGGTGGATCGTCTTTGTTTCAAGTCATTCTGTATTACATTTACTTTGATGTTTAGGGTCATTGTCCTGCTGCATCACCCAGCTTCAACTGAGCTTCAGCAGGTGGACAGCCACCCTGACATTATCCTATAAGATGATCATATGATGATGAGTTAGCTTCTGTTGATGTCATTAGCCAAAGGGTTCACACGCTGCGAATGTTTGAATGAGGTTTTCAATATGGAGAAGAGCAACACGATTGTGTGAATTGTGTTTGTTCATAATTATAACCTGGATGAAGGTTTAGGGTTGAATTATAGATTTAAACATTACTGAAGGTGACTCTAAAGGCTTCACTTACATTTTCTTGCTTCCACATTCAGTATTTGTGTATGAAATCTAAATAAAATGTTACACCACTAAATTCACAGCAATCAGTTTAATGTTGATCAGTGCCATTTATACAAACCAATAGTTTTCAAACACACACAAAAACATGTTATTTTAGGTCAATTTCAATCTTATAACCACTGACAAAATGAATATTATTACACTTTGCACAAAGAGGAAAAACACACACTGTACACTGGCACAGTCCTACTGAGGATTATATACATACATACATACATACATACATGTACTCTCACACACTCATACATGTTGTGAAGATGCACTAATTTACAGCTGCTCCATGACAAACTTAAACACGACTTCACTTATTTTAACACTTCCCACGGAGCCGTACGTGAATGTACAAACTCTTGTAAACATACAGTTTTTTTTTTTAAAACCTAACTGCTGTGACTCTGCATCGTGTTTGATGAATCGTGACTCGTTTTGAAGACAACAGGCCTCCTGCAAGAACCACATGTAGGAATGGTTTCTCTCTCTTCACCAATTTTCTCGTAACTAAAATTTTCTCTTACATAATAACTAAATTCAGGAGAAAACACTTGTTTGAAGAATTTTAAATGTTTCTGTAAAAAAACTAAAATGAAAAATAAAAATAAATAAAAAATATTCTGTTACAATATCAATGTGCAACAAGGTCCGCCAGTTTGCCAGTGTAAGACTGGCATATTTTGGCAATAAGAGGAAAATTAGAAAAATTTGAGGGAAAAAAATATATTATAGTAATATTTTTAGAATTACAGAAAAAAAAAATTACAGGAAAATAGTCGTAGTAATTTGAAAAAAAATTTGTAATATCTGAATTCCTCCAGAATAATGTTGTAAGATAAATATTATAACAACATTTGACTTTAATAAAGTCAAACGTGTTGGAGAAAAAGAGAAAAATGTTGTATCATTCGAAAAAAAGAAAAAGAATCTAATCTCTTGACAAAGTCATAGTATTTCTTGAGTATTTCAAGAAAGAAGTCCAAATATTTAGAGAGAAAAGTTGAGATTTTATAACTAATACGTAAATAGGTCAAAGCGTATGTGTCAAGCAAGTGATGGGCAAACCGAAATCATACGTTTCACTAATAAGCTCCTTATTATGAGTGGCCCTGACGCTCCATCATCTGTAAAATGTAATATAATCTGTCATCCATCTCCATGACTGACACATCTCTTCACTTCCCATCTAAGACTGTTTTACTGTAGCAAGACGTCCTTTTGATTCCGTCATTAATCATGTTATAGTAATTCCACAGGTTTTAATTTATCAAATCTAACAAATGCACCCCTGTACGTGGATGGCGGCGTACATCAGATTTAAAACGAGGAATTTCCAATCAGTTTGTGCAGTTAAAATAGTTTGGCGAATCTGACTGGGAACATGAGAAACCTCATGTGTTCATGTTTATGAGAAGAGGAAAATGTGTTCTTGCATGAGGCCCGATGTTCTGTGTTCTGGTTTCCATTGCTGATCACCTCAAACTACACGATCACCTTCACATTCTCCAGATTCCAGCTGTAAAAAAAACAAACATTTTTCATGTGATCCTGACAGTTCTGAGTGTTGTGAGGCTCACTGCAGTATAATGTGTGCTGGCTGTCCATGGTGCCTGAACCGTTTTGTGCAGAACTGTGCAGACTGTCCTGGATCCTGAGAATCAATCATCGTGGTGAAATCCAGGACATAAATCAGGCTGTTGACTGTGTGGTGTGTTTCCAGCTTCCTGGACACAGACTAGTCCTGGACTGAAGTGACTTCTGTGTTTAGCTTGTAGAACCTGGACTCACCGGTGTTAACCCTTTAGTAAACACTGTGGACAGTGCCACACCTCAGCCTCAGGTCACAGATTACCTCCTGTGTGTGTCTATTGTGCCCAAAGCAGCACCTGCTGCCGCTGTGAAGTACAAAATGATGCCACAAAACCAATGAGACACATAAACTATCACTGTACAAATACATTTCATATTTTACAGTTTTGTTTTCCTTCTGCTTGTGCCTTTTAAACGGCTGATGATGATGGCGATAGTGGTGCACGTGGCCGTTACTGGATACCTCTGAATAAACACATGGCAAACACCATGGCGAACAGCTGGAGAGAGAAGGAGACACACAGGGATCAGAAAGGGTTAAAGCTTCCTGTTGTAGAGCTGAGAGGAGGACAAACTTTTAACCAGGTACGATAACTCTGACGTGATGAAAAGACCAAAACCAAAAGAAATGTTCAGTATTTTCCTAAAACAGCTGCTCACTGTAGTTTCTTTCAAACAGGAGGAAATAGGGCATTTGTTGGGAACTATTTTCAGCTGCGGATTGATCCACATTTGATGCTCTGCTGTGGCAGAAAACAACCTTTTCTAATTTTAGGATAAATTTGATGTTCTTTTGTTTGGTGAATTCACCTTCCTTAAACCTGCTTCATTTACTTGTGTTTCTGTTAGTTTCCTTCAGTATCTGATGCCTGGTAACAACTTTTTCCTGTTTAAAGAAAAGGCCCTTTACTCAAAACTCAACCTGTCAAGTTGCTGAATTTTTATTTTCATCTGTTTTCTTTGTTTTTTTTTTTGTTGCAGAAATTGGTTTCTTTGCCTCCTCTGATGATTTCTTCATCTGATGTCAGACAACGGCTTCAGACCTGAGCCTTTTGCTTAAATGTGACATTTGATGTTTCAGACTGAAGATTATATAGAATAAAAAAGAGAACAAGCAATGAAGCATTTAAATACAAAGGAATCTGAAAACACTGCACATACTTCAATTGTCAGCACCACGATGGCCAGAGCTCCTGCTGTGTAGATGTACGTCTCAAAGTAGTCGACCATTGCTGAGTAACAGCCCTGCAGGAAAAAAAAACAGCAGGTTTTAACTCACAGCCTGGTCATAAAACCATAACTAAAAATCGTTTTATCCTGAATAAAAGAGAGCTACCCTGGGGTGTGTCCACTTTTTTAGCATTTCTGTAACAATGCGCTACAGCATCTGCCTATAATTAAATGTGCATGTCACAACTTGAAGTCGGCTTTGTAGCAGCAGCTCAACAGTTTTTGTTGTTATCATGATTTCAGGTATCAAAGAAAAAACTTAAATTAACTTTTAGTGTTTTTATTCTGTCTTTTGTCAGTTTTATGGATAAAAAGTTGCTTGTTTTATAAGAAGATTATAGTTTGTTTTGTTTCATTTGAACGAATCTGTAAAATAAAAACAAAATAAAACTAGAACTGCACAGTATATGAAGAAGTTAAAATGCTGCTTACACATTAATGCATCAGTAATAATAGTCTAGACTTCGGTCTGTACTAATAGTATCAAATAATAATAGTATTTATATACGATTACATTGCTGATGCATTTGATGTTGCGTTTGTGAGAAAAATTGTGCTTCCTCTAATGACCTTGTTGTGCCTGAAGGCCACGGTGCCGCTCACACACTGCTCCACACTGGCATCTCCAGGGTAACTGTTCCTCTGGCAACAGGCCTCAGGGACCATCTTGCTGGGGTTCAGGAGCCTGAAGAGGCTCTCTTCGAAGTCCTCGGGACCACTTACGCCACAGCAGTTGAACTATGCAGAGAGGCATGATGGGAGAAGACAGCAGATTGTAGGTGTGGGCATTGATGGATGTTGTTGTTATATACTGAGTGGAATAAAAAGAAGGAGAAAGTAAAACAAAGAGCGGTAATTGGAAAATTGATGTTTCACCGTGGTCATGATGGCGTTCCACGTGGAGGTGAAGACGTCAGTGTTGTTGTGACCCTGATAGTGACGTTTCAGCTCCCTGGTGAAATACTCCCTGGTTAACTGAGCACAGACACAAACACAGTTCAGGTCAGGAACCAGGTTTCCGTGAGATACCAGCTCTGAAGATGACGGGTCTGCTACACACACATATACACGTGATAACATAAACATACACACACATAGTATACAAAAATAAAATAAGTGTTCTTTTGACATAATTAATCGTATCATGTGATTTAAAGTTGAACTGCTTCAACGATAATCATCAGCTACTGAAACGGCCTCCTGCTGTTACCAGCTTCCTGTTGCTTCTGATCCTTTATGTCACTCGTCCAGAGCAGGACAGGTGTTCCAATTATTTTGTCCACCTTACACTGTTATTGTAAAATTATTGATTACAGCTGCTTGTAAACAATTAATTGTTCAGTCCTGCTGCATGAGTGAACACGTCCCTGTACACTGGAGTCAGTCAGAAACACAAAGGCCGAGCCTGGACTGATTCAGCAGGTTTAGTCCCACTGAGGAGGTGAACCGGTCCAGACTGAGGCCGCACTCACATGCTCCCTGAAGAGGAAGGCCAGGATGGCGGCTGCCAGCTCAGCGAGGAAGATGAAGAGGATGAGCATGAAAAACTGAGAAGAGATAAAACAAACGGAGCGGTGTTACCAAATGAACTTATACTCTACATTGACTGTCTACACAAAGGCTTCATTATGACTCCAGATATATAGTCAGGACTAGATTTTCAAATTAAAAGCATGGATAGAAACGGTAAAAATACGATGAACATTAAACTGATAGAAATAATCTTCTTCTAGTGCTGCACCATTACAGTCGACTCCTCTAGATGGCACACTTGTACTGTCTCACTCTGGTCTTACATGACACGCGAGCAGAGCCGCAGCTGGAGGAGAGAGTGACTGTAACTCAAGTTTCCTTTCCCTCATGTCTGTACTTCAACCTCCTTAGTGGGCTGATATTAATTTTTGCCACATAAATGTAAAGGATGATTAATAAACTATTGAACTTAATACAATAATGTCTTTACAACATGAACAATATAAGAGATGGTGTATGGGAGTGTGTTGGCAAGTGTATGCCTGCGAGTATCTGTGCTATATTGGATTTTTTGGATGTTTTTATTGTGATTTTAACATACAGCTACATATGTTTTGCTCCATGGGTGGAGTTAATGAGCTAATGAGTTAATCAATGCTAAAATAAAACATTATAAAGCATCCTCAACACTTCTTTTTTTAACAAGTTGTGACGTTTTAATTAATTTTACCCACAACAACACCACAGTGACAGTTTCCTTACATTACTTCACACAGCAGAGCAGGCAAAAACATGAGAAACATCTCACTGCACAATGTGGCAGTGAATATGTTGAAAAGACGCTTTTACTCTTGACTTCTGGAGCGTCCACTAACCGTGACTGTAGATAAGAGCTGCAGCCTCATAAATAAAGCAGATGCAACTCTGTGGCGAAGCAGCAGAGATTTTAGACTCAATCAATATGAGAGAAAAAGGCTGAAAATGGCTGAATTCACCTCCTTCAATGTCAAAATCTCTGCTTTGACAAAACATTTGCAACTCCAGCTGAACCCATAACTGCCCAATATATCTGCTGATATTAGCTGTATATTGATAGCTGTGTCGGTATTGGCTAATATAAATAGAGCAATATATGTCTTATTGAAATGACACACTTTCAAATCTAAGAGATGTGTATATACAAAAAAAAACAACTATTTTATATATTGTTACCAGATTTTTTAAACTCTCAAATAATGATTTCAATATCAGCCTCAAAAATCCAGTATTCCTTAGAATATATATTTGCCACTGTGCAGCAAAGTTTTTAAGTTTTGCTCAATGTAAGATGATCACACTGGTAACACAAACACATCAACTGTCGACTCCGACTCACAAAGAGCAGGAGACATTTGTTCTCCCTGATGGCTCCACAGCAGCCCAGGAAGCCCAGCAGGAACAGCATGCTGCCCATGGCCAGGATGACGTAGACCCCCGTGAACAGCAGGGGGTTGGCCGCCACAATCTCCCTGAAGCCCATCGGGTCCACTAGCACCCAAACACCAACACCCAGCAGAAAGGAACCACCCAGCTGGGAGAGAGAGGGAGTTGATTAATCAGTCAGAACAATCTCAACCACAGCTCAGATATTTTTTATATATATTATATTATATTTTGTTCTGCAACAGCACTTTTATAATATAACTAAAAAAAACATGTAAAAAGGCAACAACTGGAAACAGATGTTGACAGATGTTGCATCTTGTGGTCACTATGGTTTTTAATGACACACTTGATGGATTTTCATCTTCTAAAACAATCTCAAATCAAAGTCGAACCAAAACTCCTAACAGGAGTGTTTTCTGCTCTCCTTTGACTTTCCGTCTGAGTTTGAACAACAGAAGAAGAGAGCGGAGGAAATGATGAACTCACAAAGATGAAGAAGTTGAAGATGAACATCAGGTACTTCATACAGCTGAGGCAGTCTCCCTCCATGGCTGAGCCTCTGGCTGAAACCTCCCCCTGCCCCTGTGAAGAGAGACACACACACACACACACACACACACACACACACACACAGTGCAAATGTACTTCAAGAGCTGCTTTTACTGTGAAAACCTCTTCAAACTCCATCAGCAAAGATTTTTTTTCCACAAACACAAATTTTACCAAACCCTGAAACCACCAGTGCGACAATCAGGTGTTGTGCTACAGTAGGTGATACAATGTGTTTTTCATTTTTGATAACATACACAGTAAATGTTACATCATACGACAAGATAAGATACAAATTTATTAACTAATTATTATCTTTATTTATTCTCTTAGTTGTGATGATTTGAGCTTTTTTTTCTGTTTTGTGAGAGTGAATTGAAGATCTCTGGTGTTTGTACTGTTGGTCCGTCAACACAAAACCAGCACATCACCTTTTATAAATATTGATGTGCATTTTTATAATAATATAAATAATTTTAATATTTCATAATAATTAAGTTTTTTTACAGAACATTATCATGTCACAGTGAAGTTGACCTTTGACCTTTTGGATATAAAATGTAATAACGTCATCATTTTATCCTTATAGACATCCGAGTTAAATTTGTGTCTTAATTAGTGTATGAATTTGTGAGTTAATTTGTGAGCATAAAACATGTTGTTAGGTAACAGTGACCTTGACCTCTGACCTCTGACCACCAAATTGTAATCAGCTCATCCTTGAGTCCAAGTGAATTTTTGTGCCAAGTTTGAAGAAATTCGCTCAAGGCCTTACTGAGATATCACGTTCACAAGAATGAGACACACGGATGTACAGATGGACGGACAACCCAAAATCAGAGGTGGTCAGAGGCAGCGTCATCTTAAACTGCAGCATTACTCGTTTCCAGTTCCAAATCCAAAATGTGAAACGTTCAGGAAACAGGATTAACAGTCCTGTTCTCATGCTTTTTGAGTCGATTCAGAAGGATTCAATGGCTTTTTTGTTGCCAGAAATCATAATGTAATCCTTTAGCTGGAACAAAAACAACATGACAATAAATTGCCCTTTAACACGCATAGATTTAAAAATCACACAATGTACTGTCGCCTCATGCAGCTTGTTGCAGTGCGACGCTGAAGACTCGATTCATTGGCAGTAACAGTTTTTGTCAGTTCTGGGGACGTGACACTAACAGCCTGTCCCTGCGGGATCGTATGACACATGGAGGGACGCTGGCTGGTGCTGAGGAGGACATGTTGGTGTAAGTGGGGCCATCAGTGGGGGTGTGAAGAGGACCAACTGTGCACTTATAGCCCTGATGGTGTTTACCAGTTAAAACTAACATACAGCCACCTGTCACATCTGAGGGGACGAACAGTGTAGTTTAATATCTGCACATTTAATCAGGAGCATCGCTACTGTGAGGGACTTACTCTGTGTCATATAGACCTTTTAAATGATCAGGTTAAATGGTTGCTATTTGGTTTGGAGGTGGTGACTGTTTCTCTGTTTATTCAAGGAACAAACCATCATTTTCTGTGTCACTGTCTCGCTGTCTGTGATTTTGCTCTCAGATAAAGCCTGTCTATTTCTCTGCCTTCCCCCTGTGTCTCTGAGCTCCAGGGTCATTGGTCCCCACTGAAAATGTACATCCAACTCAACTCTCAAATATAAAGTTTCACTTAAAAATAAAAAAGGCTCAGTTTCCTTAAACAGCTGGACACTGAAGTTTATATCAAACAAACATGAGGAACAGCGCATTTACTGGGGACTATTTTCAGCGGCGGATTAATCCACATTTGGTGCTGCAGTGAGTATTTGGGGCAGCAGGAAGTCGTGTGTGAGGCTGAGTCAAAATGTTTGTGTTCAACAGTCTGCCTCACTGATGAGTCCATCAGATGGACAGACAGACATTCATGGTGCCCAGAGGATGAATCCTAATGACAATGATGACGAGCCTTCACTCTTCCTCCAGCGCCACCAGGAGGCTGTTGTTTTTAGTAAAATATCTCAACAACTATTGGACGGATTTCCTTGTGAAATGTGGTCCAGACGTTCATGGTCCCCTCAGGATGAACTGTAGGAACTTTGGTGAGTCTCTGATTTTTCCTCTAGCACCATCATCAGGTCAAAATTTCTGCTTGTCTAATATTTTGTTTCAATGTTAACATGCGAAAGTACATTGTTGGTTTTAGTCTTTTCATTGGGTTTGTGGACAGTGGACGCAGAAAATATAGAACAGCACCAGATACACACCTGAACAGAAACTCTGGATCCCATTCACCAGTGAAATGACCTCATGCTTTAGAAAGGACACACAGTGTTGAGACCAAGCTCTTTCCCAAAAACTAGTCAATTTTGTGCCTAAACCAAACCAAACCTTAACCATGGTGTTGTCACATCATAAAATGGTTTTAGAAAACACAGACAACTGATGTTGTCGTGGTAACAGAGGCATCAGATCAGAAAATACTCGTGCCGTTTTATAGGGCACGGACAAAGTATTTTGTCCTTTGATTTGAAAGGGTGTTGGATAACACACTTACGCTTTAAATGAGAATCATTTCCTTGCATTTATTCTTACTGCCCCTTTACAACTGTCTGTATTTCCCCAATATTTATGCTATGTGAAATCAAAACTGTAACTTGCACTTTTTATGACATTTAAACACACACATCTAAACTGGCGTCAGTGTCGACAAAAATGTCAAAAAGGAGAAGTTTGGAATGTGACATTTGTCGGATGGAGATATTTTCTGGTCTTGGTGTGGAGTGAAGACTAACAGCTGTCCTCTGATTACGCCTTTAACACAATCCACACGGCGGTTAACACCAGTGATTCCTGCTTATTTACAATCTTGCTCTTTGTCTGACTTTGCTGCAGCTTTCTGCCGTGTTAATGTGTATTTGCTGCTAATTTGACTGCTCTGAGTGGGGCTTTTACTTTAATGAACTAAAATTCTGGTGCGCTGCTCTCGCTGAAATTAAACACAGGTTTTGTGACCATCAGTGCACTCTGGGTAATTGCAGAAAGTCTTTGGGGCGAGGTCAGGGTTAATAGGATAAGGGCATGTATGGTGTCGGGAATTTGTCCACACATGCACTCAACATTAGCACATGTTTTTCAATCACTCAGGTCAGCACAATTACACAAGAATTACAATTACACAGAGGTGAACAAAGAAAAAAACACAATTACAGTGGCTGGAAGAAAAAAAACAAACAAGAAAACAAAGAGCTGTCAAAGACACAAAACATTAAAACACAAGCATTGTAGTGATGTCAGAGAAAACATGATTACACACTCACATTTATTGCAATCACAAAAGTGTTGCCATAATTACAGAGCGGCAGAGGAATAAACAGGCGTCTTGATTAAAAACCAACGGGGGTCATAAATGCAAAAACAGCTGTCACTATTACAAGTAATCACGACTTAATCAATCAGAATTAAATTACTACAACTGTAATTACATGATGACAATTACATCTGAAATCCAAAAGCAGCTGTGAGACCTGTAAATTCACACCAGCTGCTGTTTTAAATCACAGAAACTTCTGGATGATCACTGAGCTTTCCTGCACTTCAAACACTAACCTTTCCCCGAGACTGACAGGCTTTGTAAAGGAAAACATGGAGGACGTGCCAGGGTGTAATTTTCTTCTGAGTCTGGCAGGAGACAACTGCTTAAACCACTGTTATCCAAGTTTTCACCAATGAGAGCGTTGAGCTCTTAAAAGAGTTTATAAAAAAAAAAAAAACCCACTGATGACTGAGTGATGGATGCTAATGCTTTGCATGGATGAATTATGATATTGTGGATTTAAATTGAAGAAATAATTATAATTGTACATTTGAATTTATGGCATTTCAAGAGGGTATGAGTATTTCATATATGTTAGAAACTTATATCTTCATATATCCAGATGGATGTATATATGTGATAGGGGTTGATATTTATGGCCCCCTTTCTGCGCCAATGGACTGGCTCCATTCAAATGAAGGAGAGTGTTTGTTCACACAGAGCTAATGTTGGTCTGAATGTGGCCTAAGAAATTATTCACAGCGATATATTTCTCATGAAATGATGCCAATGATTAAGTGTCACATATACATATAGTAGATACTGTGAACTGGGAGTTGGTTTAAAGGAAGGAGTTGTAAAAAGACATTGACTTTGAAGAAGTTTAACTGATGATTGATGAACTGAATGCCATCTGACAGGAGTTAAAACTTTTTTGGCTTCTTATCTGCCTTTTTCTTTGTTGGAAACTGGCACTCTACATTTTTGTGTTTACACCTCTCTTATTTTTTCGGTTTACTTCTTCATAATCTTAACAATTTCCTCGTCTGAAGAAAGCAGCTCCCTCTGTAAGCACAGCAGCTCTTTCAGTATTATCTCAAATTGCTCAAGTGTATTGTGCATGCAAGTGTATTTCTTTCTTTGAAATCATAAGTCACCAAAATGCATCTTTAAATAAAGCATGTCGTACTTCAGAAAATCTCTTTGCTTCTTGGCTCCTTCTTCTTTCTGTGCATTTATTCTTTTTTCCAGTGACCCTGGTTTTGTTTTCACTGTTGTTCCGCACTTTTAACTTCGGGCTGTGGAAGCTGTGGACACGCCAACTGAAGGGAGTCGCTAGCGCTGGGGACTGCAGCTGGGATATGTGTCCTTGTTTCTGAGGTGGTATATGAGTGTTTTTCACCCCGAGCCACCTGGTAACCTTTAGTTCAGGTTGAACTTGTACAAAACATGAACTATGAAAAATATGCTTGTACCTTATTGTCAGATCAAAAGGTTTTGTTACGGTACATCTCTTCCTGTACCTTAGATCTTGAGTGTGCACCACACACAATAAAACAGAGTGGTGCTCAGGTCCCATTTAGCAGCTGTGGCTGCTTTCAAAAATAGGTCTAGGGGCAGCTGGGTAATTTCACGCAGCCACACGGAGAATGGCCACACATAATTCCCTCTCCCCTCCGCAGTCATGGAGAATCGCTCTGCCTGGATTCAGTCCCCCCTGCAGCCTGCCTCTCCCTGCGGCTGTC